ACATTTAAATGAGTTGTATAGAGATTTTGGAGCTTAAAAATCAGTTCACACACAGCACTGGTCACAGGCTTATTTGGTATCACAGTTTCCCTACATCAGGAATAGCAAACACATGGCCTGCACCATTTTAGTAGCCTGCCACCCTCCTTCAGAATCGAGTTTCTCTTCTTATCTGTGATATTTGCTGGAACAGACAATTGTGCTTCGAGAACCCGTTTCCCGCTTGGGAATAATAAAGACACATGGACACAGCATATTAGGTTAATGGGCTAGAAAAGGCCACAACTTTATTGATTACAGCATGTGAGAGATATTGGCTTAGGCATTGGACAACCGCAAATTTTGACTCCACCCACTCAGAGAGGGGTGAGTCTGATGAGGGTTAACCACCAGTAGGGGGAGCCTGTTGATGCAAATACAACTATAAGCTCTCCCCTGATGTCACCGGGGGTCGTGCCATGGCCCCCAGCCGCACAGGGCATCGGACAGGATCCACGACCACCGGATTCCTTTAACGGAATACCCAAAAGTGAAGGGGTAGGCGATGGCCACCATACACCAACAACCTATTCCAATGCCTAACTGCCAAATACCGAGGAAGTTGTGACGATTGCTACGAGATAGGCGAAAAAAATCAAAAGGCCAGTGCCAATTTGCCAATTGGAAAAAACTCCTACCAGGCCCCTAGGCCACCAGAGCGACCAACCACAGGTCCATAGCAAGGTCAAGCAAGCAGCTAAGCCCTAAAGGGAGTGGTGGGTGGGTGAAGAGATTGGCAGTGCAATGGCAGGGAGAGTTGGCACGGCCACATTTGAGCGGCTAAACCACGCCCCCAAGCTGCCACCCGATTGGGTGTTCTTCTGGGAGGCGTGGCGCACCAGCGATGGAGCAGGGTAGGGGCCAGAACGCCCCCTGCATAACGCGGGAAACTGTTCCCGCTCACAATCCCTCCCCTCCTGGGGGAGGAGAGGCTTTGTTAGAAAGTCTTTGATAGGCCAACACTCCTTTCTGTTTCCTCTCTCTTAATACATTCTAGAAAATGCTGTGATGCAGATAACAGTCCCCCGCCCCGTCTGCATATATGCACAAGTGAGCATGAATTGGCCACTTTGTTGTTGCCCACCATTGCCATGTGGCCCTTGAAGAAGTCGCCAGCCCTCATTGCAGCCCTTTAACCAAAAAAGGTTAGCCACCCTACCATGTAAACATTCTACAACACACACCACACACACACCCACACACACACACACACACCCCTTTGGGTGCAGAATTCAGGAGCAGTGAGAAAGTTGTCATTTGGATAAGCCCTGGAGAAGACTGGCTTCTATAAAGAGAACTTCTCATTGAGGAACCCTTCATATTCTCATTGAGGAACCCTTCTCATTGAGGAACCCTTCACCAAGGAACCCCAGTTTCCCAGAATCCACCAGAGGTGTAGATTGATCTGGGAAGGTTTGGTAGGTAGATGATCCTGACTTTGAGTAGAATTTATCCCAAATCTGATTCTATGAAAAAGAGTACAAGAGCAGTATACACAGTTCTGGCATTTTAAAAATGCTGACATTTTTTGAAGTGGTGCCCCTAGGAGGCAGAGGTCAAACATGATACTTGATTTTCGTAGCAGAGAAGACTTGCTCTCATGTTGCAGTCTGTAACCGAATGTTTTGGGGAGTGGAAACAGGATGAAGTAGGCAAATACTTTTTTCAGGTCCAACTGGTCAAATGTAACCAAAAGAAATAAATATGCTCATGATAGTTTATCATTTTCTTGTATTGCTTCAAAGGGATTTCACTGCCAGCTGCACAGCCCACTTCCATCTCTCATCTTATTTGAATTATGTTGGGTTATACATGTTACGTTTCATAGAGTTTCATTGCATTTTGTTATTTCTGTTGTTTTCTTTCCTTGTAAACTGTGCAAGGAAAGGTGGGCCACAAATATTTTTATAAATAAATAAATAAATACCCATAGGCTTTAAAACCTATATGTCTCACCTGTGCTGTGCTAGTACAGCCTAATTCTCTAGACGTTGGGCTACATAAAATTATACTTTCTGCTCATCCCAATTTCATCAAGTCAAATATATTTGCAGTGAGTAACTCTGGATGAGTTACTTCACTTCCTTGCTGCATCTTTCCCCTCTGGCTGATACCCACCTCCACCATGCCTTTATAGGAGTGAGATGAGGTTTAGGAATTTTTTAAGCACTTTGGGATTACAAGTAAGAAACTATTAGCATGATGTAATGAAAAGTATTATTACATTATTATCTATTTAGCACCTGATTAAACACCACTTAACCCACTGGCTTTAATCCAAGGCACAACTGTTAAGGGTGTGTGTGGTTTATTTATTTATTTATTTTTGCTAATGCACCATTGTTCTGACGAAGCCAGCATCTGTGCAGTAGTCCGTATCTTCCACTGTCATTAGGGTAAATTGGTTCCCTGGGCAACGTCCCAGGAACGCAGGTGTCCTGATTACAGACATCCTGATTATGTGAAGTAGACAGCAGTCACTCATTCACAAAAGGAACTCAGCCTCATTGTTAAACAATCACCACCAAGCATTTGCTACCAAGAAGACCTTGGGAGAAAGGAGACAATTCAGCTCCATTGCCCATATTGTGGCTCTTCAAACCACTGGCACCTTCCTCACCAATCTCATTCTTACGAAAATATTGATGGCCAAACAACTATAACTGCTAATATTCAGTATGAAATGCATGTTTATATGTATATTGAGGGTGGGGGAGGGAAGAGCCATCTAGAAAATGCAGGTACTTGGATACACCAACACTTTTTCTAACATAGGAGTAAACAGAGAGAGTAACGGGTGCTACTTAATATTTGCTCCACGTTTGTTGGAAATTGCTCTTTAGTGTGGCAGCAGCTACACTTTGGAACTCCTTGCCTATTGATACCAGGCAGGCACCTTCACTGTACTCTTTTCAGCACCTACTTTAAACATTTTTGTTTAAACAACCCTATCCAGACATGTCGACACAGTGTGCGGTGACCGTGAAGGAACATTCTTTGCTGGGGATCATTAGGAAAGGAATTGAAAGTAAAACTGCCAGTATCGTAATGTCATTCTATAAATCTATGGTATATAAATCTATATACTGTATGCAGTTCTGGTCTCTTCACCTCAGAAAAGATGCTATAGAGTTGGAAAAGGTTTGGAAATGGGCAACCAATTTGCTTTATACAGAGAAGTAGGTGATAAATTATTGGAAATAAATAAATACATTCAAGTGGACTTGACAACACTCTGTTTTAAGCCACCTTATATGCAGCACACTTTGGAAGATTAAGACTTTTATGGAGGCATAGTGCTTCAGCCTCACAGTGATTCATTATATCTTAGTTTATAGTGATCTAACCTTCAACAGCATCTGCATCATGATCTATCAAAGCTAGCAGTATTGAACTATGCCATATTTTGCTCATTTTGAAAGACTGCAAGATCAGTTCTGATGGCAAATTCAAGTTCCTGTTGCACGTCTCAATTACTAATCTGGCCAAATAACCTAGGGTATGTTGGGATAATGAATTACAAAAATCAAAGGGCTTAATAAATAATAAAATCTGCCCCCTTTCCTTTAAAAATACACAGAACATGACACTCTTGTGCTTTTAATTCAACTCGATTAAAGAGTGGAGAGGAAACTATCAATGACTACCAGCAGCAAGACTCCTCGAGAATTGCCCCTGTTTGTAGATTCTTTATGGAATTAGGTGACAGCTGGCAAAGTTTGCCTTGGGGTTAAGGGCTCAGTATCCATTTCGGTTTCCTCTTTTCATCAACAGGAACCCTACACGTAAATCACATAATGTAACACATTTGCTTTCTTACGTTCCGTTCTAGGATTTAGATTAGCCACCAGTAACATGAGCTTGGCTGTTTAAACAATATAGATGTCATACATTATAATATTAGCTTTACTCATTGTCTCAATGCAAACTTTTAAACAGAACATTTTTGACCCTGAAACTCAACTCACCCCAAAGAGCCCCTTTTTTAATTAAAACTGCATGTGACCCAGAAGGCATCAAGGCAAAGGAGCATCATCAAGCTTATTCATGCCACCTTCACCTGCTAATGAAAAGCAGAGGCCAACATACGAAGGGATGGAAGATTAGAAACAGTTAGGAATTGGTGTGTGCAGGGATAGAGAACTTGAAAAATCACTCCTGGCCCAATGAACGCTTTTAAAAATAGAACACATTTGGGGAACACTGGAAATTCAGTTTGGGGAAAGATTCTAAAACAGACCATCAGTTTGCAAAAGCTTTGTAGTCTTGCAAACATATATATAACTATTTGGACTTGTGTCTACTTCACATTGACAACTGCAGCTTGATTAGCTTTTGTCGCAAGCTTGTTTCTTCATTTCATGCCAATGTGCATGAAACAACTCTGTGTTGATTTGATGTGGAACATGGGGTGCAATTAAAGCTAGGTGACAGTCTGGACGTGGTCAGATGCCTGAAATGTTGCAGTTGTGGGCCCAGGCACAGTGAGCCTGCGATCGCCAGTGGTGGGGACATGGGAAGAGGTAATAAACACAGAACAACATATTGGGATTAAATAGGCTACTACAACTTTATTGTCTACAAATGTCAGTAGGTTTTGGCATAGGCAAACTTTGGAAGATTCATGTATCCTGAATCAACCAACCCAGCAGCTGGCTGATTACTGTTGGGGTTAATCCTTGGATAAGGATTGCTCTATGACGTAAATCAAATTGGGGTGAACCCTCCAGGAGACCACATTTCATGGCCCGGCAGCCCCTATCTGGACAGAAACACCCCCTTTTGACCCCTTTAATGGGGTACCCCAATTTCATGACAGGGGTTAAGAATTCAATTCAATGCCTTGTTTTGCTGGTAAGATGAAGCTCAGGAGGGTCCTCCTAATCCATATAATTAGATTACCATGGGTCCTTATTTGAAGAACCCTCCTCTCCCAACCCTTGTCCCTTTGCTTTCCACAGATGCACTAGCACCAACTCCACCCTGGCAGGCCCATCACCCTGGCAGCAGTCAGCCAGTAGTCATGAGGGATGCTTCACTATCAGTAACTGAAGAACTGGATTCACAAGAATCATAATCACTACCCAACTTCCAGTGCTGCTTCTGATGATGCTCCTTGGTGGGGTGCTTCTTGCTAGTCTTCCACAACACCTCATCAGAGGAATCTGAGGGCTCAACTGGAAGTTGATGCCCTGTTTGCTGGCTAAGTGGTCTGAGATAGCAAGAAAGGTAAAGCAAAGCAAGCTGTAACTGCAGTGACCAAGATAGCAGCTGCGGACTGTGTCCAAACTTAAAGAAGGCTCTTTATCCCCCCACTTGCAACACGGTGACAGATAAAGGTACTGGTACAAAAGTTGGGCGCCACCCCCACTCTCTGCCAAGTGGTAGCAAGATTACAGGGGGTCCCAGGTGCACACCTGGCGTCTGTGCTGCTTTGGAGAATTGAAGACATGGCAGAGACTGTTGTAGTTTTTTTTAAAGAGCCACATATTTACACCTTCAGTCTGCATGGAGGGAGCCCAAAGCTTACAGCATGGTCATTCCAAGAGCGGCTTGTTCCCCACAGCAGTACATCGCTGGAGGCAAAGGCATCTCTCACAGCCAGCCTTCAGCCAACCTGTCCAAGATGGATCTCAATCTCTCTCCCCCCCCCCAGTCTTCTTCCCAGCACACTTTGCTAAAAACTTTCCTGTTGCCTCATACCCAGTTACCCTGGTAACATTCTGTCTGCCGGGGCCCAATATTTCTCTTGGATGGGCCATCAACACCTTTCGTTATGTTAATGCCTCTATTCCATGTGAGGCCCTGGCTTGGAAAGGAAGCTTAGCCTGTATTTTTCCACGGGCCAGCAACCTTCCCTTCAGTACTCCCAGCTAATCTAAACCTTAACATTTATTAATTTCTAGGGTTTACGGCAGGGGTCGGCAAGGCTTACTGGGCATGGGCTGGATTACTCCCGCGGAGATCCTCCATGGGCCGGGCCGGCGCAGTGTCATGCCAGAAATGGCATCTGTGCATGTCCGTGGCACCAGAAATTGCTTCTGCGCATGCCCAGACACTTGAAATCGTGCCTGCACTATTCTAAAAAACAAGTATGATACATGTGTTAGTTGTGGTTTGCGTGCTATGGCTTATCGAACCTACCGGGAATAAAATGACAAAAATTCACTTTGAATGGTTGGTGACTCTTTTCTGTGGCACTTAATACCATTTTTATACCTTATTTTAAAAGAGACCACAATTAGCTTTATTTTGATACCAAAATAAGCCCAATTGGTTGAAAAATAAGCGAAACAGGAGATTTTTTCTAAACTAACACAGAAATTGCATTAGCCTAAATCGCATGAAAATTGAAATTTTAAAAAAATTCTCCTTCGCCCAATTTTGGACCAAAAAATCTTTAAAAATTGATTTGAGGTTATCTCATAGGTATCTATCTACACATAATTTTTTTAAAAAAGAAAATCTGAGTCGTGAGAGCACATGGCATCAGGTGATTTGGCGTGGAACGACCCCTCTTGGTTCATTGGCTGGGCCTGGGAGGAGTGACAAGGGCACTCTCCTTTTCCCGAGCCATGATGCTGCCACACCCCTTGGCTCTCACCCCAGGGAACTGCCAACAGCAACCCATGTAGCCATCGCCAAGCCTGCAGAGCTGGGGGGGGGTACAGGACAATGGGGCATGCACTGTGACCTTCCCCCCTCTGCAGGTAGGACAAAGCCCCCCTTTATGAAGGGTAAAGGTAGGGCTCCTCTGCTGCCTGGCTGAACCACCCTCCATCTTGCTGCTGTCAGACACACACACACACACACACACACCTTTTGATTCTGGCTAATGGCAGTGAAAAGTGCCTTTTGTTTGGTGTTACAGCAAAGAGGGGTGGGGGGGGAGAGAATGTGGATTAAAGAGGTCAAATGTATATCAAACAATGTGTCCCCCATGTAAATGCTTAGGCAGATACTCCCCTTTACGGATCTCATGCTATTGCCAGTCACACCTCCATGGAAATTCTTAAGAGGAATGTTTTTAATGAGAAGCTTCACAGATTTTCAGCTTTGTATGTCTTCTAGGTATGCAAAGGGATTGCTTCAGAACCTGAATTTGTCAGGAGAGGAAATGAAAAATAGATGTGAAATGTAAAATACAAAAGAGGTAGCACAGCAAAGCTGCGTCAGGCAAAACACAATACTGTGAAATACTATCCCCTATTCTAAAAAAAACATGCTGCTTTCTTCTCCTTTGCCCCAGGAAGATTGTAAGGGTGAACTAGAGTCTTGCCCTTACACAATGGGCTTTTAGTAACAAGGCAGTCACTCTGTCACTGCTTTGACAAGAAAGAAAGTAAAGCAGACACAAAAGAATGCCACTTGGCACCGCAGTATCCATCACTTCCAGCTCTAAACACCAATGCCTTTTGTATTTGTGCTTATCGGCAGGAAATCCTGATGCCTTTGCCAATGAGTCCATCACTTGGATAAGAAGGAAAATGAATTGCCATTTGTCCAGTTCCCATAACGCTACATTCAAACGACTCCAAGCAGCTTCAAATAGCACTGCTGTTGAACGTTGCACAGTGTGAATGCAGAACCCCCAAATCAAACTCCTTTGTCATATCGTAAAGGTGTTGGTGACCAACTGCTTTAACAAATTTACTTTCATTTGTGCGTGTGTCTGTGTGTGTGTGTGTGTGTGTGTGAATGAAAGTAAATATATATATATAGAGAGAGAGAAATTATTTACTTACGTAGTGCCAGCAATGAGCATGACGCTTTTAGAGTACTAAAAAGAGAAATCCCCACTACTGTTGCAAAACAAATGCACAACATTAATGCTATGAGATCAGACAAAATATAAAGAAATATGTGAAATTTTTTGAAATTGTTTAAGCAGAACATGTGTGGCCCACAATTTACTTTTGGACAGGAATGGGTAATCTGTGACTTTCCACATGTTGTTACCTTACAACTCTCGCTATCCCTGGCCATTTCCACATTGGCTGGGGCTGATCTGTCGATGAGGAAACAACCTCTGCCTCCCAAAACCCTATTAAGGATGGATGTATTATAGGCAAAACAATTCAGCATCGCTTGATTTTTCATAATTAGAGAATGATGTAATGAGGAGAATGATGGGGCCTAGAAACACACTGCCCCCTCCACCACACCATAAGCCCCTAACCCATTCCTTTTGCTGGCCTTAGCTGGCAGCAGTGGGGTTTGTGCTGCAGCTTTTATTAAATACGAAATATGTTGATGAGGCTATGCATGGTAGCATCCACAATGGAGGGGAAATGACACAGTGTTCAGGGCATTGTAAGAAAAACAAAATGGTGACAAGCCCAGTCCTCCCTGGGACAGGATTGGGACAGGCATTAGTGTAATGACCCCTGCCAGGGTCCCAGTTGCAGTTTGAGGAGCGTGTGTGCCCCCTCCCCCACGTCTGGAACAGGGGTGGGGCAGCATTCTGCATGTGCAGAGGGAGTCCAGGTTCTCAAAGACTATTGCATAGTGACCTTTTTGAGTCCCAGATACCACATTACAGTGGTGCCTTGGGTTACAGACGCTTCAGGTTACAGACTCTGCTAACCCAGAAATAGTACCGCGGGTTAAGAACTTTGCTTCAGGATGAGAACAGAAATTGTGCGACAGCGGCGTGGCAGCAGCAGGAGGCCCCATTAGCTAAAGTGGTGCTTCAGGTTAAGAACAGTTTCAGGTTAAGAACGGACCTCTGGAACGAATTAAGTTCTTAACCCGAGGTACCACTGTATATCATAGGCAGACTTTGAGGGGCCGCATGGCAGTGATAGGCAGTGATGCAAAACTGGGTAGAGCAGTGAATATGAATGTACAGTAAGTGACAGCCATGCAAAAGTCCTGGGTTTCTAGGCACTTGAACACAGCACACACAGATGTTCCACCTTTCTTCGAAACCAGCAAGTTTGTGGACATGGTCCCTCCAGGCAAAAGGCAGGCGTTGCCTGGAAAGCGTTCCAAGGGCCACATAGAAAGGTCTGGAGGACCACATTTGGTCCCTTGGCCAGAGTTTCTCCCACTCCTGGATTAGCTCTGCCTTCCAAATTGGCTGGGCTCCAAAATAGCAGCAGCCGACCTATTCCAGAGCCTCATTTTCTTTCAGCTTACAGCTTCCTTCCTCGTCAGACTCATTCCTATTATTTATCATCTCACGGGACCAGTAACTTCTGCTTCCTTCCACAGGGTGTAGTGCTGTCCTTCAAAGGCTGTGTCTGCACCTATTTAGGTTGCTTTTGGGGATTTTTCTGTACGCCAGAATTCATTATTAACTGAGTGCAAAAAAAGGAGAGCACATTATCTGCATCTGGTGTAACTCAGTCCAGCTCTGTTGCAATGTTTTGAGTTGCAGAGTTTTGATCCTTAAAGCTTTGTATATGCTTAAGTTATTGCAGATGCTATTGTTGTAAGGTGGATACTGTGGGGGTGTTTTCTTTATTGTATGACATTTGGGATTTTGATCACTTTTATTTACATCCAAGAGATTTAAAATTTCTCTAAACAAAGTCGGGAATAGTTATTTTCAGCGAAACTTCTCTCAGCTTTGCATTTAAGATTATTTGTTTGTGCGCACACGCACGCGCGCGCACACACACACACACACACACACACTCCTTTTATCACAGAACTGGAAACATATACCTCCTTTTCATTGTGAATGAATATTCTGCTTGCATTTGTTTGCTTAATGAGTTAAACGAATAGGTAAGAAATCTGCAATGGCTTTTTTTTGTACCCCGAATTAATAGGAGAAAATTTTGGAGCATTCTTTCACATTTGTAAATTAGAGTGCACCATTAATAAGGTATGCAGAGCAGATCAGTGACTATCTTCCAAGGAAAATGCTTTCCTCGGTTTTTTCCATAAAGTTAAATGCACAGCATATTCTCCTCACCCCCATTTCTTTTCAGAGAAATGAAACCAAGCTTTGAGTATAGCAATGATCAGATTTTGAGATGGGAGGGCTGTGTGTGGGATCTTTCATTTAATGAAGGAAGAGGGATCACAAACCATAGCTCATGGACACTCTCTTCTTCACAGAATATTCTTCCAGGAGAGTGAGGGGTAGCAAGAAAAACCTGCCCTTGCAGAAGTACTGCTACACCTATCTTTCTGAAATTTGGCAGCCTTCATTCCTTCAGAAGGGTTGACTATGATTTTCTAATAAATAAAAAGTTAGAGACCTTTTATTTATTTTTAAAGCTTCCTTGCATGAAAACTCCTTATTGGATCTTCCTGAAATTTGCCATGCTTAATTCACTGTGGACCAGTTCCTTTGCCTGTAAATTTCACCCACTTATGCGAGAAGGAAAGAAATTTTAGCCATTTTTAGACACTACATTATATGTGGCAAAGCATAACATTGGACTGAACAGACTGACTATGGACCCAAATAATGAATCAAACCAGAATGACATGGAGTGGGTCTGAAACAGATGAGGCTGCCTCAAAATACTACAGGTACATGGTAAATCTGGTGGTCACTAAACAAGCCTAGTATATATGTGTCACTAGATGATGTGACAGTGTTGTTAGCTAAAACTATTTACCACGTGCAAGACAACTGTTGATTCCATCCTTCCTAATATCAAACATAACATTTACATAAATCTTATTTAGGAAGACTGCGTTTCACTGAGAATTTCATATACAAAAACACAGAGTTAAAGAAGGCTTGACCTACATATTGGATGTGTGTGCAAGTAGTTTGGTAGTGGTTTATATACTTCAGTACCGTTCTTCACAAATATACTTTACTAGCCCTCATTTAAAAATAAATAAATATGAACAAGATTTTTTTTGGGGGGGGGGGAATCAGCACAAAAGAAGGATAGAAGCATTTTTTTGGTACTCTGTTATTGAATATATTAGCAGAAGGAAACCATGCTTATTTAGCAATAGTGATACCATGCACAGTATTCCATCTACTGTGTTTTGCAATATCACGCAACGTGTTTTAGTACTTGAATTCATATAGTATATACTTTGCTGATCGATTTGCATACCGTATCGATCCCAAGGGTTTTCTAATGTGTTTCACTTGTGGCACTTCTGCATAATTGCCTGATTAAC